GGGGGGGCATTTTTGTTCAGTCTAGCCTTGAAAAACAGTCATCATTAGGCCATTCTCTGGTGCCAGAGCGTATGAATGTTTCTTCCATTTAACTTAATTAACAAGTTTTCTTGCAAATCCCTATTCGTGTTGTATGGTTTTACTAATTTGTTGTTGTATCTGCTCAACTGACACTAAGCAGCCTTGTATGGATTTCTAGCCTCATTATCAAAGTTATAAGACGTATTTTATCAACGTTACAAAACACTATTTTACCAGAGTTACAAAAAAAATTTATTCTGGTAAGTGAAGAATCCATTCGTAGTACATGTAACACGTTGGGCGAAGATTACATTCGCAATCTAACATGTTATATTGTTGTTACCTTGAGTTCCAGTATGATCTGAGGCGTGAGAGACAGCATCGTGATCCCCATATAACGCCGTTTGTTGCTCTCCCTGCCGTTGGGCAAATAGGACGGCCTCTCGGTCTCTGGGGGGTAGTTTTGCAGTGATGTAACAGTTGAGGCATTACATGTACTATGGAGCTATTCCACGGTAACTGACGGGACAAAAAATACCTCATTTGTCCTGTCAGTTGCTGAAGCTAAATACGTCACAGAATTTGCAAAAAGTACCTTTTTTTTAATGACTGCATTTAATATGATTCTTAATACAGTGTATGTCTTTCAAATGTTTTTATCTTTTAAAGTTGAAATAAATAGATTGATATCGAATCACGATGTTGTCATTCCTAGAAAGTCCAAATGTCGCGTCAATTGCCGTGGAATAGCCCTAGGACGGCAGGGTCACGCGGAACAACTTTTTTTTAAGAATTCCGAGTCTGTGCGGTATACAATAGACCCTTACTATAACTTTCTCTTCGAGTGAGAATCCACAATGTCCCTTCCTTGATACAGACTCTGGTACTGATTGCACATAGCAGACACAAATTAAGCAAGGTTAAAGCGTAGAAAACCGTGCGACGGAGCTGCATGTGCATGCCACAAACAATAATGTGTCCAGATAATCTATGGTCTAAGGTCAGAATTCCAACTATACGGGAGGGACCAACTTTCAGAAATTTAGGTCACAAGAGCGCTTTAAGATTTACGTTTGTGCAAGAGGTTTCGCACTCTTTAAAAAAAATGCTGCGATAAGGGAAATATTGTTGCTAAGGAAAATGCTAACAGCAGGACCTTTCAATGTCCCAACTTTCGTATTCCCGAGAGCGTGAATAAAGGCATGGACAAGGATCCTCACCCCACCCTCCACCCCTTCTTCTCCCCTCCAAAAAAAAAGGAAAAAAAAAGAAAATAGGTATATCTAACGAGTCTTTCGTTCCACTTCTTTCTGTCCTTTCGGGGACAACAGTTATTTCCCCCTCTCCATGAAAAGGTAAGTACATGTATAGTGCAATCCGTAAGAAAAGATCTCGCATACTTTGGCTTCTGAAAGCCTATTAGGTATGGTACATGACATCAATTTAAATTTCGTGCTGAAAATTGTAACAACGGTATAGTACCGTTTTACTCCAACCTACCTTTAGCGATGAGGGTCTCTGCTTTCTCTATTAGTCTGAAAGCGTAACTTGAAGGGATGGCGAATGAAATTCCCTCCGTAAGCTTCAGCGTGTTGATGCCTATCGCCTGGCCGTCCTTTGGGAACACATGATATGGTTATATGAAGGAATAAATTAATCTTTGTCCTTGTTCGGTGTTGATACTTGAGAATGCATTGTGCTGACACCGTTCCCATCCTTTATATTCGGTTGCACATTTTAAAAAACGAGAATTCTAAATTCAGACAGCATCAGTTTCGTAAGGAATTGATTAATATTAGATCTAGGCCTATTTTAACCAAGAAAAAAGTTGTTGGGTCTGCAACTAATCGAGCCAACAAACTTCAGTCACTCACAAACACATACATATTCCAAATTATTAAAGAAAGCGTTTACGAGTCTTTAAACATAGAAGTTAATTGATATGTATACTTTTCCTTTTTCTTAAACCACAAAATTCGAGATCTGATTCATGACTGGAGGTAAATATTTAATATGTTATGGAGCCTTTTTGTTTTTGTTTTTGGCAACGTTTGTTATCTCATTGGAATGTCACTCACCATATTCACAAGAGGACCACCTGAGTTCCCTAACTGAAACATGAAGAAAAGTTTGGTTAAGGGAATTCGTAAAATCGTGGCAAGAGCGAGAGCACGTGTCTTTGTGTATACACGTTACGTAGGTGCATATGTTGTTGTTTTTGTTTTATGTTGTTGTTGTTGTTGTTTTTTTTTGGGGGGGGTGAGTGGGTGGGTGTACGGGAGGAGGGGAAAGGGTATGCATATTGTGTGTGACAC